CAATACCTGCCACGGACTAAAGTGAAGCTCAATTCCATCTTTAGAGTTTGCAGTGCTATTTCACTCTATCACACAGAGAAAATAATTTATCTGTTCTAAGGATGCATTGTATTCCACAGAGTGAATTGAGAGTAAAATACTTTGAGTTCACATTACATCTTTCATTCCTTGTATTAGACTTAGTTTAAATCACTTTGACTTGCTGATGTCATGACTTTGCCAGGTTTCTTTAACTGACTGCAGAAAAACTGTAAAAACATTTAATAAGATTCAATTTACGATTATTTCGTGACAATTTATTCTAAATTGTGAATTTGTTAAAATGGGAGACAACTGATGGATTGAGGGCAGGATAGAGAAAACAAATTTTGAGGCTATGTTTGGGAAGCGGCCTTTTTCAGAAACCAGCTTTCAGACATCTGAGAAACAAGAAATAAAGAACTGCTCAATCTTCCTCACAATTTTCTAAACTAGCCCCTTAAATCTGTTCCCTTCAGAAAACAATTGTTGGATCAAGAACACCTCAGAATTTTGTCTTTTAAAATATTCCATTCTCCCACGTCTTAACTTTTGTCTCCCAGATAAATATTGTACCCCACAGCATATTTCAACCTGAAAAACATCACGAACGTTAGAAATATTGTGTATCATTGGGACTAGAGCAACAAAACTCAAAGTTATTTTAAGTATGTTAGAAATAGCTCAAATCCAAAATATCAATGCCCTTAACATGGTGAAGGTAATTTATTCCGAGTGCAATAAATTGATAAAGATTGCAAATGGCTCTTTAATCTGCAAAAACTGAATAAGAAACAAATAAACATAACAATAATTTTCATTTTTTATTTTTTTATTATTGGTAAAGTCTTACTGAAGGTACTTGCAAAGATTTGTAGCTCGGGTTGTGGGTGAGGTTGTTGACTTGCTCGCCGAGCTGGCTGGTTATAGTTCAGACTATATGCTAGGTAACATCATCAGTACGGTCTCTGTGAAGTGATGTTGTTCTACTCCACTTAGTATTTATATGATCTGGTCTGTGGGGGTGTTTTGTGTCATTTTTGGTTCTTTTTTGCAAGGATTTGCAAATAGGGTCTAATTCCACATGTTTACTGATTGCATTATGGGTGGAGCACCAGGCCTCTAGGAATTCTCGCGCGTGCCTATGGTTTGCTTGATCTAGGAAGGTCACGTCTTCCCAGTCAAATTGATGGCCTTCATTGTCCAAGTGTACTGAAATGAGGGAAAGTTCATTGTGTCGTTTTGCTGCTAGCTGGTGTCCATGTATCCTGATGGCTAGTTTCCTTCTTGTCTGGCTGATGTAATGTTTTTGGCAGTCCTTGCATAGTATTTTGTACACTATGTTGGTCCTGCATGTCGTGGTATGGAGTCTTTGGTCCTTGTAAGTGTTTGTCATAGTGTGGCTGTGGGTTTGTGTGCTGTCCTGATTCCTAGTGGTTGAAGGAGTCATGTTGTCAGTTCCGATATGTTCTTGACATATGGTAGGGTGGCCGGTGTATTAGGTTGTATTGTGTCCTGTTGGTGTTGTCTATCTAGTAAGCATCTGCGGATGAAGTTGGTGGGGTATCCATTGATAGCGAAGACCTTGTATAGGTGCTGTTCCTCCTTCTTGCAAAGTTCAGGTGTGTTGCAGTGGGTTGTGGCCCATTTGAACAGTGTCCTTACGCAGCTTTGTTTGTGGACATTGGGTGATTGCTGTGGAAATTGAGGATTTGGTCAGTGTGGGTTGCCTACCTGTATACTGTGGTTTGGAATTCCTCATCCATCACTCGTTCTACCCTGACATCTAGGAATGGAAGTTGATTGTTGTTTTCCTCTTCTCTTGTGAATTTGATCCTGGTGAGTACATTGTTGATGAGGTGGTGCATCTCTTCTAACTTTGTGCATTGAATGATGACAAATGTGTCGTCCACGTATCGTACCCACAGTTTTGGCTGTATGCGGGGGAGGGTCATGCGTTCCAATCTTCGCATGCCTGTCTCTGCAATAAATCCTGAGATGGGTGACCCCACAGGTATGCCATTGATCTGCTTGTATAATTGACCGTTAGAGGTGAAGTGTGTGGTGAGGCATAGGTCCAGTAGTCTGAGTATATTGCCCTTGCTGATGGAGCTGTCAGTTGGCGTTCCTGTTTCCTGTAGTAATGTAGCCAGCGTTTCTTTGGCTAGTGGGATGTCAAAGGGCATGAATAGCGCTGTAATGTCAAAGGATACCATAATCTTGTCGTCGTTGATTTTGATGTTCCTGAGGCTATTAAGGAATTCCTGGGTTGAGTGGATGGAGCTGGGTGATCCGTCGACCAGGTGTTTCAGTGTTTATTGTAGGTCCTTGGCTAGCTTGTATGTAGATGTGCCTGGTAGGGAGACAATGAGTCTGAGGGGGCGGTCTGGTTTGTGTACTTTGGGGAGTCTGTAGAAGCGTGGGGTGTTCAGACTTTCTGGTTTCATTTTTATGTAGTCAGTCGTGGTTATTTGTCCGGCATTCTTTTGTTTCTTTAGTGTTTGGGTGATCCTACTTCCTTGACGCGCTGTGGGGTCTATCTTCACCTGTTGGTAAGTGTCTGTATCTGCAAGCAGAGCCTGTGCTTTTTCAATGTAGTCTGATTTGTTCATAATGACAGTCATGCACCCTTTGTCCGCTGGTAGGATTATGGTGTTCCTGTCTTTCATGAGTCCTTCGAGTGGTCTTCTCTCTGATATGTTTCGGGTGTCCCAATCATTTCTCCAGTTCAATGCATGGATTATAGCCACTCTATGACAAACATTCACAAGGACCAAACACTCCATACCCATGACATGCAGGACCAACATAGTGTACAAAATATCATGCAAGGACTGCCAAAAATATTACATCGGCAAAAACAGGAAGGAACCTAGCTATCAGGATATACGAACACCAGCTAGCAACAAAATGACATGACAAACTTTCCCTCTTTTCCGTATACTCGGACAATGAAGGCCATCAATTTGACTGGGAAGACGTGACCTTCCTAGATCAAGCAAACCATAGGCACGCGCGAGAATTTCTAGAGGCCTGGTTCTCCACCTGTAATGCAATCAGTAAACATGTGGAATTAGACCCCGTATGCAAACCCTTGCAAAAAAGAACCGGAAATGACACAAAACACCTCAACAGACTGGATCATATAAATACTAAGTGGAGTAGAACAACGTTGCTTCAACGGAGGCCGCACTGATGATGTTACCTAGCATGGCGACGAAATGTCTGAACTATAACCAGTCAGCTCGGCGAGCAAGTCAACAACCTCAGTAAAGTCTTATATTTTAAAAATTAAACTTTATTACAAGTATATAAAGCCAAAACAAGTCTGTTGTATCCCAGTATAAAACAAGTTTAGAAGAGAAAAACTTCACTGGCAATTCCGAACAGAACTGCAGAACTGCACTCACTGGTGACCTCTAATCAAAGTCAGGAAAAGACACCAAATGAGAATTCAGCGGGCAAGGACTTCACATGCCTTTGTCAGTGTTCTCTGGCACTTAGGATTGTGCCCAATACACAGTGCACCCATGTCCTTATAATTTCTATGTAAGGCAATCAATAAGTTTTTTTCTAAATCCTCGTTCATAAGTTCATAAGAAATAGAGGCATAATTAGGCCATTCAGCCCATCGAGTCTGCTCCACCATTCCATCGTGGCTGATATGCTCCTGATGCCCATTTTCCCGCCTTCTTTTGATAACCCATCAAACCATTACCAATTAAAAATTTCCTTAAATTTACTCACTGTCTCAGCATTCACTGCACTTTGGGGTAGTGAATTCCACAGCTTCACCACCCTTTGGGAGAAGCAGTTTTTCCTCAACTCTGTTTTAAATTTGCTACCCCTTATCCCCTTATCCTAAGACTATGACCCCTCATCCTAGAATGCCTCACAAGAGGAAGCATCTGCTCCATATCTATTTTATCTATGTCTTTTATCATCTTGAATACCTTAATTTGATCTCCCCTCACTCTTCTAAATTCCAGACAGTATAGGCCTAAACTGTTCAACCTCTCCTCATACAACAAACCCCTCATCTCTGGGATCAATCTCGTGAAATTCCTCTGAACTGCTTCCAGTTCCATCATATCCTTCCTCAAATAAGGGGACCAAAACTGTGTACAATACTCCAGGTGTGGTCTCACCTATGCCTTGTATCTCCAAGTGTGGTCTCACCAATGCCTTCCTTGGGGTCTAAGCAATTTTTCTTTACATTTCCCTCTGTAGCCAGACTGTATTTATCACAAAGCTAGTACACCTTATTGTTGTGTACTCTGATATACGATACATTGCATTCCAAAGGCTGGGTAAAATAATGAATCCCAGCACAGGAATCCCCATTCACTCTCATTGGCACAACTTCAACAATAGTTTTTCTTTCAATAATAGTTTCTTCCCAAGCAGCAGGTTTACAAATCCTACTTTTTGCCGCGTTCTGACAGGAACCAAGCGGAGTCACAAAGCAATGCATTCTAATACTTTACACATGGAGCATCATTGATATGTGGTATACACTGTGGCATTAGATGGATATTGTATAAGATGAAAGCAGAATTGAACGATTATTTCCGTGATTCACTGAAGGATATTATTTTTTACATGTGACCAGGTGGATCTTCAGTTTCTTTCCTGGTCCTGTTCTTTCTATGTTTAAGTGCTGATATCTCTAGGTCAATTTCAACATAATGGAATAATATTTAATAAATAATAAGTTTTCACAAAGTAAAATTATAATCATATCAAATGTTAATAATTCTAATTATTTTTGACAACAGGCAAGTGTTGGTTCACTGTAAAATTTGTTTGTGTGTGTGCATGTTCGTATAAAAAGAGTTTATATTCATCGTATATTTTCCAGCCTAGCTATTATCTTCCTGTAAAACAGATTTGTGTAGGTCATTCTTCAAAGTGTTGTGAAAAGTTTGCAGTTTATTTGTCAAAAGCAATTTTTCAAGCAACCACCATTCTTCCCTTTTCAGAGTTTGTCAGAAGGACAGTCAGCAGCTTGGGACACTGCCAAGAAAGAGGAAAATCGCTCCAAGAACAGATATGGGAACATCATTGCTTGTAAGTGTATGCTGTCCTGAATGGATGTGTTTCATTAATAACAGTCTGTAACATTGCTTTCCTGAGGAATACATTCCAATAAAGGTTAGCAATGAAAATTAAACAAAACTCTTCATGAAAAATAATTCATTTACAAACTATGCCTAATTGTTTGGGAAGATTTATGCACCAGCCTCCAAAAAGGGATGCAGTATAAACTAAACTGCATTAAGTGAGAGCACATGGTAATAATAATGATTTTAAATCAGTGCCTCCAATGCACTGGGGTAGGTTTTTCTTGGTGGGAGCAAATCTGTTGAGTACCAATAGTGCCTGCATTTGGCTGACAGACTGCAGGCAGTAAACAATGTGGTTGACTCTTAACTGCCCTCTGGGCAATAAATGCTGGCCTAGTCAGCGACGCCCTCATCCCATAAATGAATAAAGAAGAAAAAAAATCCTCAGGGCTCCTTGCTGGCTATGTCTTCCCCAGTAATGAGTGTCCCAGTCTTATTCTCCAGGGGTGATATAGGAGGGTTGCTGCTGTGGGCCTCAACAACTGGGGTGAAGAAGGGACGTGGAGCAAGAGCATTGCAGTTTGACTTTGTGGGGGATGGAGGAGCATTCCACTCTCTGTGTCTCAGAAACACACCATAAACATTAACCGCATGCTCTTCTTCAGCTTGACCACTCGCTGAAACTGCGCACAGTACACGCTCTATCCGGTTATGTTAAAATAGCAAATGGTCTTTTGTATGTAATTTATTTTCAGAACAGATTAAAACAGAATGCAACATATAGAAAATTAACACTGCGTTAAGATAATTTATTGTGGTAGAAACAAATAGCCATAAAAGGATGCTGTTACATTCTTAATGAATATGTTAAACATTGTTCATAATTCCAAACAACCAACTGATTGTACATTTCTTGTTTTCAATTTATTTACAAATCTAAGCTAATCACTGGATTCCTTTTTTTAAGAGAATACCTTTTCTCTTGACTTGAACTTTCAGAACTTCAGAATTTCAGGATGTTGCTGGGAATGGAAGGTTTGACTATAGGGAGAGGCTGGATATGCTGGGACTTTTCCACTGGAGCGTAGGAGGTTGAGGAGTGACCTTATAGTGGTGGTTTATGAAATCATGACGGCTATTAATAAGGTGAATGGTAGGTGTCTTTTCCCTATAGTGGGCAATTTCAAGACTAGGAGGCATTTTTTTAAGGCAAGAGGAGAATGGACATGAGGGGCAACATTTTTACACATAGTTGTTCCTATGTGGAATAAGTTTTCAGAGGAAGTGGTGTGTGCAGGTACAGCTACAATGTTTAAAAGACATTAGGATGGGTACATAAATAAGAAAGGCTTGGAGGGATATGAGCGAAGTGCAGGCAGATGGGACTGTTTAGTTTGGGATAATGGTCCTCATGGACTGGTTGGACCAAAAGGTCTGTTTCTGTGCTGTATGTCTCTATAACTCTATAACTTAGGGAAGCACCTTGACTTAAGTCTGAGGAGAATGTTTCTCTAACATGGATTGATTTTGCCCTTGCCCTTCATTTGAATTTGCCTCGTTTGTCTGATTTTGACTTGGATCTTAACTGGTTCCAGGCACCACTTGTGTTGGAGATGTTGGTCCTCGACTCGTATCCCAACTATCTAATTCATCAGACTCATTTGATTCTTCATAATTCCCTTCTTCTTCATGAACCTCTGAAGATAGAACATGATCTATGTGTACAAACCTAACCTTTCCACCACCAAACATCTTTTAATGCCTTTTCCTGGTAGCCACCTCAACCACTTATGATGGTTTATTTAACATGGGTAAGCTGCCGGAGGACTGGAGGGTGCTTAATGTTGTGCCTTTATTGAATAAACGCTGTAAGGAGAAGCCTGGGAACTATAGACCTGAGAGTCTCTCACCAGTGGTCAGTAGGTTGTTGGAGGTGATCCTGAAAGATAGGATTTACATGCATAAGCTTCCCCAATCCATCTGTGCCAATTTGTGGATTATACCCTCATAGTTCCCTCTATTTAGATTAAAGACTATAATTTCAGATTCCATTACTTCACTTTCCATTTAAATGAAGAATTCTATCATATCATGGCCATTCTTCCCCAAGGAATCCCGCACAACAAGAATAAAGAATACAATAAACAGCTGTTGTTGAATCAAATTCTGCAAAAGCAACTTGCAGGTGCTGCCATGGCCCAGCTGCCCATTTCCATACTTGTAGGGGTACCGACAACTGCTGCTTTTTGGAGCTTGAAATACCCTACACCGTTTCATTCTGTGTCCTTTGTCCCTTTATTAACCCTGGCCACCAAAAATAGCTTCTCACAAGACTCATTGTCAAACATTCAGAAAAGATTTGCAAGGATGTTGCCAGGGCCTGAGGATTTGAGGTACGGGGAGAGGCTGAATAGACTGGGACTATTTTCCCTGGAGCATCGGAGGCTGAGGGGTGACCTGATAGAGGTGTATAAAATCATGAGGGTCATGGATACGGTAAATAGCCAAGGTCTTTTCCGTGGGGTAGGGGAGTCCAAAACTAGAGGGCATAGGTTTAAGGTGAGAGGGGAAAGATTTAAAAGGGACCTAAGGGGTAACTTTTTCACGCAGAGGGTGGTGCGTGTGTGGAATCAGCTGCCAGAGGAAGTGGTGTAGGCTGCTACAATTACAACATTTAAAAGGCATCTGGATGGGTATATGAAGCGGAAGTGTTTAGAGGGATATGGGCCAAATGCTGGCAAATGAAACTAGATTTATTTAGCATATCTGGTCAGCATCGACATGTTGCATAGAAGGGTCTGTTATCGTGCTGTATATCTCTATAGCTCTATGACTCTAAACTTATTCCTAAGTGTTGATTATGAAGGTTCCAGAACAACTGTGGTCTTGACCTTTTTCAACTGACAACTTATACATATGTATATAAAAAAAGCCTGATTTCATAATCCAACATCAGTATGGGCCACTCATTTGTATATCGTCATACAATTTCAAAAATACAGAGTGCCTGTGAGTTGTTCCACCAATGCCTTTGACTGTGACTGGCAACTCATCTGCATGAAAAGAAAAATACATTCTCCCCTGTTGGTTTCTACATCAGATAGGGATGGTAATCCAGACATCACATCAGCATTACAATGATCCTCCAATCACCTGTATTTAATATCATGCTTACAAGCAGGCAAAAATCAAAACCCATCTCTGCATTCAGGCTGCAGCTAAAGTGCATATGGGAGCCTTTTAGAATCAAAACAGCCATCAGTGCCTTATGATCAGTTTGATTGTGAAATTATGACCAGACAGGTATTGTGGGTTTTTATTCCCACGTTCCCTGACCATAGAGATGTACAGCATGGAAACAGACCTGTCAGGTTTACTCTGAATATCAATAACCCAAGGCAATTCTAACAAGGAGATATACTCAACATTCTTTATTAAAGTAATGTACACTACAAAAATACTGCAAAATCTTACCCCTACGATGCTTACAATCGCAAGTGAACCTGTTTTCATGGACCTGTCTGAGGATCAGCCAGAAACAGGTAACCAGGCTGTTCCATCTCAATCTCCAGCTGCTGATCTCCTCCTGAGTGAGGTAACCACGCTCTGAAGCTTTCTCTTCTCATACAAACAATGCTGTGTGTTCAAACATTGACATTATCCAGTCTCTAGCAAAGGATCCATTTGACCATGGCCAGTATCTCAAGTGTGTCATATTTCTGATTAGTTTGACTAATTGCTCATTAAGTCTTACTGTGTTTCCCTCAAAACGGCTTAATTCTTGGTCGCTTTTAAAAAACTTTGACCTCAGGCCAGCTTGTTCAAGCTGCTCAAGATGATATTTACACAGCAAAAACTTTTGACAATCACAAATTTATCTGATAAATAGTTAACATTATCACCTCTGATTCACTGTGTCTGAGGAAGAGTCATTCGGCCCGAAACATTAACTCTGATTTCTCTCCAGAGATGGTGCCAGAGCTTTACCAGCAATTTCTGTATTTGTCTTCAATATCTTCACAGGGTAACTGATCCCTTTTTCCAAACCAATAACTTTATGTAATTTCTGTTGGGCTTGGAACTGTAGTGCTGCTCAAGCTTACAGAAAATGTATGAAAGTGACTTGTCTTTTCCTTGAACAGAAAAATTCTTGAGTGTTTTATACACTTCCGGGCCCACTTCAGTCAGAAAAATAGCCTTTTTCCCTTTCCCCCATTGACTGACTAATGGCTAGATTATCAGGAACATCCAGGATATTGACAGTGAAAAATATGTCAAGCTGTTCCACTTATATATCAAATGACTCTTGATGATGATTGTACCCTGCACTTTGCCAATAATATCTGTTGATCTGTTGAAGCCAGTCCACCTACATGTACAAATGAGAATATCGCTTTTTAAAATTAAGCCTCAATAAAGAAAATCTCACAGGACCCCTTTCTGAAGAAGGGTCTAGACCCGAGACGTCAGCTTTCCTGCTCCTCTGATGCTGCTTGGCCTGCTGTGTTCATCCAGCTCTACACCTTGTTATCTCACAGGACCCCTACCAGCTTGTTGGATGCTTATCTAACCCACATTTATGTAGCAATGGACATACACAATCTTACATCATCACTGTCTGCAGCACTACTAATGATCCCTGTTGCACCACAGTCTTTGCCTGGAAAAGCCCTGCTATCTGCAGTTTAGGTAAATGCTTGTCAGCTTTATCACAGTTTAAATGATGGATCTTCCACCTTTTGTACAGTCTCAATAGTGTCCTAATTTTCTTCTTCCTTTAGACACTCTGCTTCAGTTTCTAATTCACACCTTTATTCCTACAATTCTGGCTATGTTACCTTCCTATCTACAACCTAATTTATAATTGGCTCTGTGGCCCTTGACAATTGAGTTGGCAGATGTGTGTATTTGTGGATGCTTCGCATTCTTGTTGAGCTGTGAGAATGGCCCCAAGGTGAGACCAGTTCTTGTGACGGGTGTAATATGGTGGGTTCAATGAACGTT